TGCAACTGCATACTAACACAAAATAGGGTAAAACGCAACATGTTTAACTCAAAAACATCACAAATAGACTAGAAATGGATGGTATAAATGTATAAATATATGAGTTAACAGTACGAACCTGAATTGTCCAATTTCAAGGACCAATCGATATCGGATTGAGTCCAAAACTTGGGGAACATCATAATATGGTGGGAGGAGTCATTTGGTGGTTTTGAGTGAAATCCAATGCTAAAACTATGCAATACACCAACCACGCCATTTCAGAACGAACTTCCTACGAACCTGAATTGTCCGATTTCAAGGACCAATCGATATCGGATTGAGTCCAAAACTTGGGGAACAACATAATATGGTGGGAGGAGTCATTTGGTTGGTTTTGAGTGAAATCCAATGGCTAAAACTATGCAATACACCAACCACTCCATTTTAGAACGAACTTCCTACGAACCTGAATTGTCCGATTTCATGGACCAATCGATATCGGATTGAGTCCAAAACTTGGGGAACAACATAATATGGTGGGAGGAGTCATTTGGTTGGTTTTGAGTGAAATCCAATGGCTAAAACTATGCAATACACCAACCACTCCATTTCAGAACGAACTTCCTACGAACCTGAATTGTCCGATTTCATGGACCAATCGATATCGGATTGAGTCCAAAACTTGGGGAACAACATAATATGGTGGGAGGAGTCATTTGGTTGGTTTTGAGTGAAATCCAATGGCTAAAACTATGCAATACACCAACCACTCCATTTCAGAACGAACTTCGTACGAACCTGATCCATTTCAGGGACCAATCGATTATCGGATGAGTCCAAAACTTGGGGAACACATAATATGGTGGGAGGAGTCATTTGGTGGGTTTTGAGTGAAATCCAATGCTAAAACTATGCAATACACCAACCACTCCATTTCAGAACGAACTTCGTACGAACCTGAATTGTCCGATTTCATGGACCAATCGATATCGGATTGAGTCCAAAACTTGGGGAACATCATAATATGGTGGGAGGAGTCATTTGGTGGTTTTGAGTGAAATCCAATGCCTAAAACTATGCAATACACCAACCACTCCATTTTCAGAACGAACTTGTACGAACCTTGAATTGTTCGATTGTGAACAATGGATATCGATAAGTCCGAAAACTTGGGTGAACACATAATATGGTGGGAGGAGTCTTTGGTGGGTTTTGAGTGAAATCCAATGGCTAAAACTATGCAATACACCAACCACTCCATTTCAGAACGAACTTCTACGAACCTGAATAGTCCGATTTCATGGACCAATCGATATTGGATTGAGTCCAAAACTTGGGGAACAACATAATATGGTGGGAGGAGTCATTTGGTTGGTTTTGAGTGAAATCCAATGGCTAAAACTATGCAATACACCAACCACTCCATTTCAGAACGAACTTCCTACGAACCTGAATAGTCCGATTTCATGGACCAATCGATATCGGATTGAGTCCAAAACTTGGGGAACAACATAATATGGTGGGAGGAGTCATTTGGTGGGTTTTGAGTGAAATCCAATGGCTAAAACTATGCAATACACCAACCACTCCATTTCAGAACGAACTTCATACGAACCTGAATTGTCCGATTTCATGGACCAATCGATATCGGATTGAGTCCAAAACTTGGGGAACAACATAATATGGTGGGAGGAGTCATTTGGTGGGTTTGAGTGAAATCCAATGGCTAAAACTATGCAATACACCAACCACTCCATTTCAGAACGAACTTCGTACGAACCTGAATTGTCCGATTTCATGGACCAATCGATATCGGATTGAGTCCAAAACTTGGGGAACATCATAATATGGTGGGAGGAGTCATTTGGTGGTTTTGAGTGAAATCCAATGCTAAACTATGCAATACACCAACCACTCCATTTCAGAACGAACTTCGTACGAACCTGAATTGTCCAATTTCATGGACCAATCGATATCGGATTGAGTCCAAAACTTGGGGAACACATAATATGGTGGGAGGAGTCATTTGGTGGTTTTGAGTGAAATCCAATGGCTAAAACTATGCAATACACCAACCACTCCATTTCAGAACGAACTTCGTACGAACCTGAATTGTCCAATTTCACGGACCAATCGATATCGGATTGAGTCCAAAACTTAGGGGAACATCATAATATGGTGGGAGGAGTCATTTGGTGGGTTTTGAGTGAAATCCAATGGATAAAACTATGCAATACACCAACCACTCCATTTCAGAACGAACTTCGTACGAACCTGAATCGTCCAATTTCACGGACCAATCGATATCGGATTGAGTCCAAAACTTGGGGAACATCATAATATGGTGGGAGGAGTCATTTGGTGGTTTTGAGTGAAATCCAATGGCTAAAACTATGCAATACACCAACCACTCCATTTCAGAACGAACTTCGTACGAACCTGAATTGTCCAATTTCACGGACCAATCGATATCGGATTGAGTCCAAAACTTGGGGAACATCATAATATGGTGGGAGGAGTCATTTGGTGGGTTTTGAGTGAAATCCAATGGCTAAAACTATGCAATACACCAACCACACCATTTCAGAACGAACTTCGTACGAACCTGAATTGTCCAATTTCACGGACCAATCGATATCGGATTGAGTCCAAAACTTGGGGAACATCATAATATGGTGGGAGGAGTCATTTGGTGGTTTTTGAGTGAAATCCAATGCCTAAAACTATGCAATACACCAACCACTCCATTTCAGAACGAACTCGTACGAACCTGAATTGTCCGATTTCAAGGACCAATCGATATCGGATTGAGTCCAAAACTTGGGGAACACCATAATATGGTGGGAGGAGTCATTTGGTGGGTTTTGAATGAAATCCAACGGTTAAAACTGTGCAATACACTATCCATTTCAATTTCAAAACGATCTTCGTAACCAATCGATATCATACTGAGTCGAAAAGTTGGGGAACATCATAATATGGTTGGAGGAGTCATTTTGTCGGTTTTGAGTGAAATCCAATGATAAGGTCATAATTTCACACATTTGCATGCCTTCTTTGCTTAGTAATTTTGTTTCGCTTCTCTTTATTTTGAGTCTCTTACCTATGTTTGTGTGTTTTGTAGGTTAAGACAGCAAGAGATCACATTTGATGCAATCCATGCTTGATAAGGGCTGATTGGGATAAGAGGAATATGAGCTTAAGGACAAACCCAATTTGGGCCACACTCCTTGTCAGTCCAGTTTCGTGGGTCATCTTGCAGTCCTCATTTCAGCAACTTACACAGGTCGGATGAGGAGACATCCTTGATAGAAGTTGTTCCAATTGGTGTCTATTATAACATATCCAAATTTCAGCCCAATTGGATAAATCTGGAGCCCTCAGCACGTCAAAGACTGAACCAAGTTCACAGAAATGTCATGACTGGCTGCCATCACATCTACATCCCTAGAGCCATGTGCTAAGCATGGGCAGCCATACATGGGAGTCAAATCAGTTCAGAAACTCAGAATGATGAACAAAAGTCAAGTTTTCCATTAAAAAACCATACCAAAGCATGTATTTGGCAGCTGGAGCAGGTGGCAAGTATGGGCATCTGGAGCAGGTGGCAAGTATGGGCTGCTGGAGTTGTTGGGAGCAGCTAAGAGAGGTGTGCTTCACCAGCCAAAGGGGAGGACGAAATTGCACTCTATAAATAGAGGGCTGCACACTCATTCAAGATGGGGAGAGTCAGATACACATTTTCACTTCACCCATTACTCTCATACACAAATTCAGATTCACCACAAAGAGAGAAGAGAGCTTGGAGCTGTCCTGGGAATTCCTTGCTGCCATCATCTAGTTCTTCTCCTCTCTTTATCCTATCTATGTATTTCTTATTTTCTGTATTCATAGTTATGTCTAACTAATCCATTTAGTTAGGGCTTAGGATGAAGCCCTAGTCATGAATATTCAATGTTATGGATGATTTTATAGTTAATTGATTTCCTTGCTTTCATTATCAAGTTGTTAATCTCCAGTTTATTATGTGCTTGATGTATGTTTTCTTAGAGTAGCTAACTAGGATTTTATGCATCTAGCACAGGTTGGGAAGGGGTTTAGATTCACCAATTCTACTCTCCTTTCACAAGCAACACATGAATGGCCTAAGAATCATTCAAGGGGTTAATAACCATAGGTTGACTAGGACAGATACCATGTTCTAGGACTTGTGTGATTATCATATTCTCAAGGAGCTTAATGACTCTTGTATGCTTTATTCTAAGTAGATACCATGCTTAGGTTGCATATTAGAGATCACGTGTTGTGTAGATACCATGCACAATTACATGCCTTAGGAGAATCATGCGTCCTGCACCTAGATACCATAGGCTTGTATGCGATAATCTTTGTTGATGAAGCTTGAGTCAATTTCTATGCATTCATAACTTGGATAGGAAAACTAGTGGTGGATTCCAAGGCTCTAACACCTCTCAATTATTGTTTCACAATCTGTCCAGTGTTTACTTTCGAGCACTTTCATTTCACTTTCTTCTTTTCATTTCAACAACAAAACCCCCCCATTTTGAGTGCGTGTGTGGTGCTAGGATTCTGTCCTAGACCTTGAGTAATTAGCAAGAGGCATTGTTGAATTCGACCTTGCCTTTAGCTAGTTAGTCAGTTTCCTTGTTTCTATGTTTTTCTAGCATTCTAAGTAATTTAACTTGGAACCAAGTTACCATTCTCCGTGGGATCGACCTCGTATTTACATAAGCTATACTATAAACGGTTCGTGCACTTGCGAGAATTAAAGTTGCTGTTTTTAATAACTCATTTTAGTTGTTAGGAATTGAACCAACAAGTTTTTGGCGCCGTTGCCGGGGAACCGGTAACGATGGTGCTATAGTTAGATTACTTTGATTGTTTTGTTTTTGTTTGTTTCATTTGTTTCTTTTCGTTGGTTTTTCTTTTAGTATTCTGTTTTTGTGTTTAGTTGTTATCTCCACTGAAAGCACTGAATTGAGTTCCTTGGTGTGTGCATGTCCGAATCTGATCAGGAGCAAAGTTCACCTGAGCCACTTTCACCAAGAACCGCTGCTGTACGTGCTGGTTTGAGAAGGAATTATAGTTCTTCAAGCGCTGATTCTAAAAGTTCCGAATCTGAAGGTTCAAGCACGATGGCAGAGATTCCGAACAACAACAATAATGTTGAAGGAGGTGGTGCGCTTGTTGTCCAACCTCGAAAACCCCTGCGTGAGTTTTCCATTCCCAAAGTCACCGATCAACCTTCGTGCATCGTCTATCCTCAACTCACAGTTGACAGGTTTGAGCTTAAAAGTGGTATGATTCATCTTCTTCCAACTTATTATGGTAATACCACTGAGGATCCTTACATGCATATTAAGCAATTCTTTGAAATATGTGCTACGATCAAAATTCATGGCCTTGATGATGAGCAGATTAAGATGAGGCTATTCCCATTCAGTTTAAAAGATAAGGCTAAGTCTTGGTTATACTCTTTGCCTAATGCTTCAATTCATACTTGGGAAGAGCTTTCTAATAAGTTTTTGCAGAAATTCTTCCCGGCTCAAAAGACTAACAAGATTAGAAAGGAAATCCTTGGTTTCACACAAAAGGAAGGAGAAGCTTTTCATGAATGTTGGGAGAGGTACAAGGAGATGATAAGTTCTTGCCCACACCACAACATAGAGAGTTGGATGCAAATGCAATCTTTCTATGAAGGTTTGCTTGATTCCGAAAGGATGATGGTAGATGCAACAAGTGGAGAAGGACTGATGAACAAAACAGCAGATGAGGCTTTTACTCTCTTTGAATCCTTGAGTGCTAACTCTCAACAATGGAGCCACAATAAAGGAAGAGGAGCTTCTATGAAAGCTGTGGTCTCTGAGGTAAGTACTAATAATGAGATTGCTGCAAAACTTGATGTTATGTGTTCTTTGCTTCAACAGGCAGTGACTGGCCCTCTTGGAAGCAAAGTGGAAGTTCAAGATCAATCTTTTGCAGAGCACATGCTAGAACAAGCAAATGCCCTTCAAGCAAGGAATCCTAATAATGATCCTTACTCAAACACGTACAATCCGGGGTGGAGAAATCATCCTAATTTCAAGTGGAGCAATAACCCAAATGTGCAACAATCTCAAGGACCTCCCCCAGGATTTCAAATACAACAAAGGCAATTCCAGCAAGCTCCCCAACAAGTGCAAGAGCAAAGGGGTGATCAAATGGGAGAATTGCAAGACATGTTCAAGAAGTTCATGGGGCAACAGATGCAAACCAATCAAAATCTTCAAAATGCAGTGAACAAACTAGAAGTGCAAGTTGGGCAGATTGCATCCTCCATGAGCAATAGGGCATCCGGAACATTTCCCAAGCCAAACAGAGGTGAATCCAAGGCATCAAGAGCATGCTAAAGCAGTACACATCTTGAGAAGTGGTAAACAAGTTGATAACAAGGTTGGAGATGTCAACGAAGAGCAAGAAGATGGAGAAAACGTGGAGATCATTCAGCCACCACATGGGCAGCCCACAGCTTCCAACAAACAGCCCCTCAATGCTCCTGGAAAGAGCACAGGCCCTAAGGTATCATCTAATGCTAATCAAGTTCCAATTTCAACTAATGCTTTTAGGCCTATTGCACCCTTTCCCAGCAGGTTATCAAAGTCAAAGAAAGATCAAGGCTTGGATGAGATAATGGAAACATTCAAGAAGGTGCAAATCAACATCCCATTGCTCAATGCCATTGCTCAGATTCCAAAGTATGCAAAATTTTTGAAGGATCTATGCACTAACAAGAGGAGATTCAAAGAGCATGAACAAGTTGCATTGAGTGAAGAGGTAAGTGCAGTGTTACAAAGAAAGCTACCTCCAAAGCTAAAGGATCCAGGTTCGTTTTCTATACCTTGCATAGTTGGTGATTTTAAGTTTCAAAAAGCTTTGCTTGATCTTGGTGCTTCTATAAACCTTATGCCATATCATGTTTATGAGAAACTTAACCTTGGTGAGTTGCAAGCCACATCTGTGAGCATTCAATTGGCAGATAGAACTATTAGGTACCCTAAGGGCATTCTAGAAGATGTTTTGGTGAAAGTGGAAGAGCTAATTTTGCCAGCAGATTTCTTGGTGTTGGAAATGGAAGAAGCACCAATTCATGACAATCAGTTACCACTCATTCTAGGTCGGCCATTCATGGCAACTGCCGGTGCTATTATTGATGTGAAGAAGGGTACATTGACCATGAACGTGTTTGATGAGACAATAGCATTCAAGTGTTTGAAGCCTCCAAGTTTCCAAGTGATGAGCATGAAGTTTTCCAGCTTGATGCAATTGATACTATGGTGAAAGAAGCACTGCCAATGAGTTATTTGGAGCCCATTGAAGCATGCATCACACAAAGCATAAGGAAAGAAGAAGTGGACAGCTTAGAGGCTGTGATCTCTCCTTTACTTTTTGAGCTTGTTTGCAGCATGGATAGCTACATAGAAGTTGGAAAGAGGTATGCAAACCAATTTGAATCATTACCCCCACCTACTAATAAGGTTTTACCTTCTATTGTGCAGGCACCAGAGTTGGAATTAAAGGAATTGCCAAAACACCTTAAATATGCTTATTTAGGTGAAAATGAGACTCTACCTGTTATCATTGCCTCACACCTCGAACCAAATGATGAGAAGAAGCTTTTGAGAGTTCTAAAAGAGCACAAAACTGCAATTGGGTGGAGCATTGCAGATATCAAAGGCATAAGTCCAACACTATGCATGCACAAGATATTATTGGAAGACAATGCAATGCCTAAGAGGGATGCCCAAAGACGTCTCAATCCGAACATGAAGGAGGTGGTAAGAAAAGAGGTAATGAAGCTTTTAGATGTTGGTATTATTTACCCTATTTCTGACAGTAAATGGGTGAGCCCAGTGCAAGTTGTTCCCAAAAAGTCAGGTATCACAGTGGTGAAGAATGAAGCAAATGAGCTTGTACCTACACGGGTGACACGGGCTGGAGAGTTTGCATCGATTATAGGAAGCTCAACACAGCAACAAGCAAGGATCACTTCCCTCTTCCATTCATTGATCAGATGCTTGAGAGATTGGCTGGCCATAGCCACTATTGCTTCCTTGATGGATATTCAGGCTACAACCAAATCGCCATAGCCCCAGAGGATCAAGAGAAGACGACCTTCACGTGTCCCTTTGGTACTTTCGCTTATAGGAGGATGCCTTTTGGTCTCTGTAATGCCCCAGCCACTTTTCAAAGGTGCATGATGAGCATTTTCTCCGACATGGTAGAAAGGTTCATTGAGGTATTCATGGATGACTTCTCTGTCTTTGGTGATTCTTTTGATCAATGCTTGCATAACTTATCCAAGGTGTTGGCTAGATGTGAACAGACTAACCTTGTGCTTAATTGGGAAAAATGTCATTTTATGGTTAACCAAGGCATAGTTCTTGGTCATGTCATCTCTAGTAAAGGAATCGAGGTAGATAAAGCTAAGATTGATTTGATTGCCTCCATGCCCTCACCTACTTCTGTCAAAGAAGTACGTTCTTTCCTTGGCCATGCAGGTTTCTATAGGCGTTTCATTAAGGAATTTTCTAAGATTGCGAGGCCTTTGTGCAATCTCCTTGCCAAGGACATGGATTTTGTCTTTGATCAAAACTGTGAGAATGCTTTCAATGCTTTGAAGAAGATGCTCACAACTGCCCCAATCATTATACCACCAGATTGGAGCTTGCCTTTTGAATTGATGTGTGACGCCTCTGATTATGCCGTTGGAGCTGTTTTGGGACAGCGAGTTGATAAGAAGCCACATGCCATCTACTATGCTAGTAGAACCCTCAACGATGCCCAACTCAACTATTCCACCACAGAGAAGGAGTTATTAGCTGTCATATTTGCTTTAGAGAAGTTCAGATCATATTTGATTACTAACAAGGTTATTGTTTACACTGATCATGCAGCATTAAAATACTTGTTAGCCAAGAAGGATGCCAAGCCACGACTCATTAGATGGATTCTCTTGTTGCAAGAGTTTGACTTAGAGATAAAAGATAAGAAAGGAAGTGAGAATGTTGTGGCTGATCATTTGAGTAGATTGGTGCATGTGTCTAACGAAGAGGAGGATTCATTGCCATTGCGTGAAAGCTTCCCTGATGAGCAACTCTTCTCCATTTGTGCTTTGAATTCTCTCAATCCATTACCTTGGTTTGCTGATATTGTTAACTATTTGTGCACTAATGAACTCCCTACAGGGTTATCTACGTTCCAACGTGACAAGCTTAGGAAGCAAGCAAGATACTACTTTTGGGATGATCCATATCTATTCAAGCATTGCCCAGACCAAGTAATTCGAAGGTGTGTGCCTGAAGGTGATTTTAAGAGCATTCTGGAGTTTTGTCACTCCCATGCATGTGGAGGACATTTTGGAGCAAAGAAGACTGCCAACAAAGTGCTACAATCAGGTTTCTTTTGGCCTACCCTTTTTAAGGATGCGTATGTTTTTTGTGCTTCATGTGATAGATGCCAACGGATGGGTAATTTACATGCTAGAAATCAGATGCCTCTCACCAATATCCTAATCATTGAAATATTTGATGTTTGGGGAATTGATTTCATGGGCCCTTTTCCTACCTCTTATGGATTTGAATATATATTAGTTGCTGTCGATTATGTTTCTAAATGGGTAGAAGCCATTGCCACTAGAACTAATGATGCTAAGGTTGTGATCGGTTTTCTCAAAGGAAATATTTTTACAAGGTTTGGCACACCTAGAGCAATCATTAGTGATGGTGGCTCCCACTTTGTTAACCAAGCTTTTGCAGCACTCTTGAAGAAATATGGAATCACGCATAAGGTGGCAACACCCTATCATCCCCAAACTAGTGGGCAGGTTGAGATAAGCAATAGGGAGATTAAGCACATACTTGAAAAGACGGTGAACACCACAAGGAAGGATTGGTCCATGCGTTTGGATGATGCATTGTGGGCTTATAGGACTGCTTATAAGACACCTATAGGTATGTCTCCGTATAGGCTTGTTTTCGGTAAACCTTGTCACTTACCAGTGGAGCTTGAGCACAGGGCTTATTGGGCAATCAAGGCCTTCAATTTTGATATGAAAGCTGCTGGTGAGAAGAGGAGGCTTCAACTCAATGAGTTGGAGGAGTTGCGACATGAAGCGTATGAGAATGCTAAGCTTTACAAGGAGAAAACAAAGCAATATCATGACAAGAAAATTCTTAGGAAGACGTTTGAGAAAGGGCAGAAGGTTCTCCTATTCAATTCACGCCTTAAGCTCTTTCCAGGTAAGCTTCGTTCTCGGTGGATTGGCCCTTTTGTTATTACTAATGTGTTTGATCATGGCGCAGTGGAGATTCAAAATATTAAGGATGGCAGCACCTTCAAGGTGAACGGACATCGGTTGAAACCTTACTTTGATGCCAACTTTGATGCCAATATTGAGTCTCAAGCACTCAAGGAGCCTCTACCACTCTCTTGATGTTCACCAGAGTTTGGACGTCCGGCTGAAGACATAAAACTTAGCGCTTCTTGGGAGGCAACCCAAGGTGACGAGGAGAAGACAGAACATGCAAGGAAGCCTGCTTGTCCTAATCGCTTCAAAGGGGAGTTTTTCTGAACTCTAACCTTTGCTTATGTCTTTCCCTTATCTTCTTTCCTTTCATTTATGAGGCATTGCTTTTTCTTACACTCTAAACATTGAGGACAATGTTTCATTTAAGTTTGGGGGGAAGGATTTAGTTATGTTGTTTCAAATTGTCAAATTTTAAAATTTTGAGTGTGTCTAATGGCCAAAAACGCAGGATTTTGTGTCTTGTTTCGTTATCCTTCCAAACACCTATGATAAGACTTGGATCTAATACTAATATGGTTTCTCAGAAATTGATAGTCATTGTTTAAGGACTTTGTGTGGTTTCTGAGTTAACTCTGTCTTGCATGCCATCCTTGCACTTATTGAGCACTTTGCCAAGTTAGTCCAATTTCTTGTTACTTAGAGACGTTATGCAATTCTACTTATCTCATGATCTTGGTTTTGTACTCTAGAACTTATTTGAATATCTCTTGAGACATTTTGTTGCCATACAATGCTTAGGAAGTGATTTAGGCCATGTTTGAACCGTTTGAGCCTTTCTAACCATCCCTCTACATGTATTCATCCCTAGTCAACCCATTTGAGCCAACGTTAAGCCTTTCTTTGTGTAAACCATTCCTACCATAATGAACCTCTGTTTTCTTATTCTTACTTATTCTATGAGCAATTAAAGCTATCTTCAAAAGAGAGTTATAAAGAATGCAAGGTTTTTGGAGCAAAAGTGAATCATTAGTGCCATAACCCAAGTGTTGAAAAGAAATAAGTTTGGGGGTATTGGTAACTAATCAAAAGAGGTAATGAAGTGTGACCAATGTAGTCACGGCCCTAGGGTGTTATAAAAGAGAAGATCATGGTGATCTAGGGTAAAGAGCCACAAAATTAGGCCAAATAAACAGATATGAAGGTGCTGAAATTATGTTGAAAATCTGCTCATATATGTGTTCCTTGCTTGTTACAAAGTTCAGTAATCTCTTATGCTCTTACCTATGCTTTAATTGTGCTCAAAATATTGTATATCTCATATCCCTTCTTTCATTCAACCACTACCCTAAACCTCATTACTACCCTTGTAAAGTCCTTTTGATCCTTGGTGTTGCATGGTATTATGTGGAGAGCAGATTGGATAATGAGCTTATGGGGTTCGGAATTTTTGATTTTGCTCTAAGTGTGTGCGCATGTACTTATTTGAGTTGCAGGTGTTGTTCTGATTTGGCATTCACACACTACACTTAAGGATGTCATTGTGAGCTTTGCTTTCTCATGAATCATGTATGGAACTTAGATTGTGATTTTTATGTTTCTTTGGAACCATATACGTTGGTGATTCTTTGAGGATATTGTTCGGAAGGCTGTTGCGTATTTCCTGTTTCCTAAGTTGTAATTTTCCTTTGTTTTGCTCGAGGACTAGCAAAATCTAAGTTTGGGGGTATTTGATAAGTTCATAATTTCATACATTCGCATGACTTCTTTACTTAGTGACTTTGCTTAGTTTCTCTTTATTTTGAGTCACTTACCTCTTTTTGTTGTTTTGTAGGTTAAGACAGCAAGAGATCACATTTGATGCAATCCATGCTTGTTAAGGGCTGATTGGGATAAGAGGAATATGAGCTTAAGGACAAACCCAATTTGGGCCACACTCCTTGTCAGTCCAGTTTCGTGGGTCATCTTGCAGTCCTCATTTCAGCAACTTACACAGGTCGGATGAGGAGACATCCTTGATAGAAGTTGTTCCAATGGGTGTCTATTATAACATATCCAAATTTCAGCCCAATTGGATAAATCTGGAGCCCTCAGCACGTCAAAGACTGAACCAAGTTCACAGAAATGTCATGATGGCTGCCATCACATCTACATCCCTAGAGCCATGTGCTAAGTATGGGCAGCCACACATGGGAGTCAAATCAGCTCAGAAACTCAGAAGGATGAACAAAAGTCAAGTTTTCCATTAAAAAACCATACCAAAGCATGTATTTGGCAGCTGGAGCAGGTGGCAAGTATGGGCATCTGGAGCAGGTGGCAAGTATGGGCTGCTGGAGTTGTTGGGAGCAGCTAAGAGAGGTGTGCTTCACCAGCCAAAGGGGAGGACGAAATTGCACTCTATAAATAGAGGGCTGCACACTCATTCAAGGGGGAGAGTCAGATACACATTTTCACTTCACCCATTACTCTCATACACAAATTCAGATTCACCACAAAGAGAGAAGAGAGCTTGGAGCTGTCCTGGGAATTCCTTGCTGCCATCATCTAGTTCTTCTCCTCTTTTTATCCTATCTATGTATTTCTTATTTTCTGTATTCATAGTTATGTCTAACTAATCCATTTAGTTAGGGCTTAGGATGAAGCCCTAGTCATGAATATTCAATGTTATGGATGATTTTATAGTTAATTGATTTCCTTGCTTTCATTATCAAGTTGTTAATCTCCAGTTTATTATGTGCTTGATGTATGTTTTCTTAGAGTAGCTAACTAGGATTTTATGCATCTAGCACAGGTTGGGAAGGGGTTTAGATTCACCAATTCTACTCTCCTTTCACAAGCAACACATGAATGGCCTAAGAATCATTCAAGGGGTTAATAACCATAGGTTGACTAGGACAGATACCATGTTCTAGGACTTGTGTGATTATCATATTCTCAAGGAGCTTAATGACTCTTGTATGCTTTATTCTAAGTAGATACCATGCTTAGGTTGCATATTAGAGATCACGTGTTGTGTAGATACCATGCACAATTACATGCCTTAGGAGAATCATGCGTCCTGCACCTAGATACCATAGGCTTGTATGCGATAATCTGTTGTTGATGAAGCTTGAGTCAATTTCTATGCATTCATAACTTGGATAGGAAAACTAGTGGTGGATTCCAAGGCTCTAACACCTCTCAATTATTGTTTCACAATCTGTCCAGTGTTTACTTTCGAGCACTTTCATTTCACTTTCTTCTTTTCATTTCAACAACAAAACCCCCCCATTTGAGTGCGTGTGTGGTGCTAGGATTCTGTCCTAGACCTTGAGTAATTAGCAAGAGGCATTGTTGAATTCGACCTTGCCTTTAGCTAGTTAGTCAGTTTCCTTGTTTTATGTTTTTCTAGCATTCTAAGTAATTTAACTTGGAACCAAGTTACCATTCTCCGTGGGATCGACCTCGTATTTACATAAGCTATACTATAAACGGTTCGTGCACTTGCGAGAATTAAAGTTGCTGTTTTTAATAACTCATTTTTTTTTTTTTTTTTTTTTTTTTTTTTTTTTTTTTTTTTTTTTTTTTTTTTTTTTTTTTTTTTTTTTTTTTTTTTTTTTTTTTTTTTTTTTTTTTTTTTTTTTTTTTTTTTTTTTTTTTTTTTTTTTTTTTTTTTTTTTTTTTTTTTTTTTTTTTTTTTTTTTTTTTTTTTTTTTTTTTTTTTTTTTTTTTTTTTTTTTTTTTTTTTTTTTTTTTTTTTTTTTTTTTTTTTTTTTTTTTTTTTTTTTTTTTTTTTTTTTTTTTTTTTTTTTTTTTTTTTTTTTTTTTTTTTTTTTTTTTTTTTTTTTTTTTTTTTTTTTTTTTTTTTTTTTTTTTTTTTTTTTTTTTTTTTTTTTTTTTTTTTTTTTTTCGTTTTTTTTTTTGGTTTTACGTCGTCGTTCTATGTAAACCGCCGTCTTATTACTATGAAACGGTTTGTATATATATACAACTTTTCGTCTACCTGACTTACACATGCACTGTTTCCAAACCCGAGAAAAAAATTTCAATCTCCCAGAGAAAACTTTTCGTCTTTTTTCCTTGTCAGAGCACTGTCAGAGTATCTCATCGTCTTCCTCTCGTCTTCGTCGTCGTCTCTGAACTTAAACACCAAAACTCCGAGAGAAAGCTTTCATTGCACGCAAAAGGTAAGCTTTCATTTCTCACTATTTTTGTTGCTATTTTGCATGCTCATACGGTTTTTGTTTTGAAAATCTTTTTACCTTTTTTCTGGCGAAAATCATTTTTATTCTTTCCAAGTTTGATAAAATACACAGACAAAGAGGGAAAGTTTCCAACTTTGAACACAACTACTTCAACTAAATAAGACGACGGTAGCTTCTTATTTACGTGGTTAAATATGTAGACCACGACGGTTCGTCAGTCGTCCTAGCGTCGTCTTAAAATTGATCTAAGTTGTTTTTAAAATGACGGTCGATTTTTTATTTGCTTGTTTAATTGCAGGTTTGATTTCTCTGAACCATGGTTTTCGTTTTTCCTAATTTGATAAAATACAAAGACAAAGAAAGTAGGGTTTGGTATCTTATATAGACGACGGTATCTTATTATTGACGCCGTGTGAATGTTCATACCACGACGTTATACTAAGATACCGTCGTCTATAAAAGATGCCAAACCTTTCTTTCTTTTCTTTGTATTTTATCAAATTAGGAAAAACAAAACCATGTTTCAGAGAAATTAAACCTGCAATCAAACATTCACAGAGAAAGAAAAAGGTTTTTGGATTCTTATAAAGACGACGGTATCTTATTATTTACGTCGTGTGAATATCCATACACGACGTTATATTAATATTTACGTCGTGTGAATTTGAATATCACGACGTCGTGTAAATATCGCCGTAATAAGTTCTTATTACGTCTTCTTTAATATTGTTTCGTCGTTGTTTAAGTACTCTCGTTTAAACATTTATTACGTCTGATGTTATGTTATTACGTCGTGTAAAATCTTATCATACGTCGTATTTTATAAATAACCGTCGTTTGTGTTCTTATTTTTTTCCTGAAATATTTTCACTTGCAGGTTTGTTTTTTCTGTAACCATGGTTTCTCAAGACCAAAGTAAGGACTCTGGCTCCAAAAAAAATGGAGGTAAGGAGCTTGGAATGGTAACTCCTCAAGACAAGCCCTTGAAGAAGATGAAGTTTGTTTCATCTGCTGAGACAGAACCAACCAGCACGACAACAATTTCTGAGGATTCAAAGTCAGGTCGAGGTATGAGCACAATGCCTCGTGTTGTGAAGAGAAAATTGCAGAAAATCAAGCCAGTTGTTGAGTACAATAAAAGGGGGAAAGGATGTGGCCCTGCACATACTGAGATGCAGTCCTACATTGGTGTGTTGGCACGCTCCAGAGTCCCACTTGTGGACAAGAAATGGGCTGAAATCCCCAAGGATATAAAGGAGCAGATTTGGGAAGCCGTTGACATGGCTTTTGTGGTAGGTCAAGGGGGCAAGACCTCGGTGTTATCTTCTGCTGCCAAGAAATGGAAGGATTTCAAGTCTACACTGACGAGGCATTATATCCTTCCATACATCAAGGAGAGGGAGAAATTAAGCCAACCCCCTGAAATATATAAATTCATAGAGAAAGCAGAATGGGATGCCTTTGTAGCTTCAAGGTTATCCAAAGAATTTGAGTCTGTGCATTCTCAACATTCACAGATTAGGGAGAAACTTGAGTACAATCATCGATTGTCTCGAAAAGGATATGCTGGTTTGGAGGATCAATTGGAGGAAACCATGCCTGGGGTAGAAATTGATCGATCTACCTTATGGAAGAAAGCTAGACAGGACAAACATGGTAACATCCCGGATCCAAAGGTGGCAGAGAAAGCAAAATTAATTGTAAGCCTACACACTCTGTTTTAAATTTTTATTAAACTGTGTATAATTCTTATTACGTCTTATGTTATATTTTTCCGTCGTGTGAATGATATTACTACGTCGAAATGTTTTAAAAAACGTCGTGAAAGATCTAAATCTGGAATCACAACTCTGTTTTCTGTAATTATAGCATAAGACGTCGGTGGTTAATTTTTTGCGTCGTGTGAATGATATTACTACGTCGAAATGTTTTAAAAAACGTCGTTAAGGTCTGAATATGGAATCACTGCTATGTTTTCTGTAATTATAGCATAAGACGTCGGTGGTTTATTTATTGCGTCGTTTGAAACAACTAACCACGTCGTTTTAAGTAACGTCGTTATAAATATATTATAACGTCGATTTCTATGTTATTGCGTCGTGTGAAATTATATAATGCGTCGTTTGTTTATAAATAACCGTCGTGTGTTTTCTTGTGCTGACTTTTTTATATGTCTTTGTTTTAGGATGAATTGCAAAAACAAGTGGCTGAAGGCAGTCTTAGTGTATCTGGCAGTAATGATGTGTTGACCTTGGCTTTGGGTCCCGAGCATCCAGGGAGAGTAAGAGGGGTAGGTGCTGGGATTTCCCCTAGGCAATTCTTCAATTTACCTAGACAACAGAGGGTAAAGTTTGCCGATCAATTGAAGGAAAGTGTAAGAATTGTCCTTCAAGAAGAGACTAAGAAGATGGAAGCTAGATCAAGGGAAGAGACTTTAAGGATGGAGGCTAGAACCAAGCAATTGGTAGAGGCTGAGAGGGAACATTTACTAAGTCAGCTTTCCCAACTCATCCCCAATTTTGATCCAAGCATGCTTAAACCGAAAACTAGCCCCTGTCAAAACCAAGGTGTAGAGCAAAGTCCCAAAAATCCAATGTCTGACAAAGCAAGCTGTTCTGGGGCTGATGTGAGATCCCTACATTTAGAGGATGATACTGCCAAAAATGGGGAACAGCAGGAAGAAACGGTAACATATCTGAACTTTGAATTCTCTGTTTTTTTAAAAACTATTAGACGTCGTTATTATGAATAAACCCGTCGTTTTAAAACCATACCACGACGATTTTATAAATAACCGTCGTTTGTATTTAAATACCACGTCGTATTTAGTTTACTTGTTTTACACGCCATTAGACGTCGTACTTTGTGGTTTTTAGACGACGGTTTTAGTCCTTACCGACGTAATAGACAAATCCCACGACGTTTATAATTTTACCATCGTTTATATTTTGTTTATTTTTTTACTTTCTGTACAATCTGTCTTATATATATATTTCTTTATTACTTAAAACAGAAATCTGGGGCTTTAGAAAATCAAGATGAAGAGAAGAAAGAAGAAAAAAAAGATGAAGAGAAGAAGGGAGAAAAAAAAGAAGAAGAGAAGAAGGAAGAAAAAAAGGAAGAGAAAAATGATGAAGAGAAGAAAGAAGAAAAACAAGATGAAGAAAAGCATGACGAAGAGGTATATTCTCATAACTTTGCCTTTTTTATTTGTTTTTCAAATTTCAGACGTCGATATTTTTCTTTAAACCGTCGTTTGTTTTCAAATTAGACGTCGGAATTTGTTTTCTATGACGTAATAAATTATTAACACGACGGTTTTTTATTACCGTCGTTTAAATTATTATCAGACGACGTTTTTATTTAAACCGTCGTTTTTATTGAATTACCACGTCATTTTATTTTGCTTTATTTCTTTAAACAGGGTAATGAAGTAGTTGATTATTCAAATGTGGAGGTGCCATCTTCCTTACAATCCCTTTGTCGTTATGTGGAAACGACACTAAAGCCTCAGGAGAAGATCATGACCTTCACAATTGAGAAGGAGGTGTTTGGTGCAGATCGCAGTACCTTCGTCTTGCATGAAGATATTACACAGTTTGCAGGCATGGAAGAAATTGGGGCTACTGTGGTTGCAGTATATATGAGGTTTGTCCTTATCAAATATTTAATTCACACTCAAATTTGTGTATGAGAAAAAAAAACATTATAGCATAAGACGTCGGTGGTTTATTTATTGCGTCGTTTTAAACCACTAACCACGTCGTTCTTTTTTTACCGTCGTGATAAATTAGTTATAACGTCTGTTTCTATTTCAGTTCGTCGTGTGAAATTGTATAATACGTCGTTTGTTATAAATAACCGTCGTGTTTTTTTGGGCTGACTTTTTTATATATCTTTGTTTTATATATTTAGGTGCTTATATGATCGTTTGAGAGAAGCAAATATGTGCAGCATGGTTGGCTTTATCGACCCTGCTCAAGTTAGTGCCAACGCTGGGTCACTAACTGACAGATCACGAATTGTAGCCAGTCGACTTCAGAAAACAGATGGTGAACAGATTTTCATGATGCCTTACAATCCAGGGTTAGTCTCCTTAAAAGGATTTTGTTTGTATGATTTTCACTAACTGACCCCTTATAAAACTGTTTAACTAATTTTGTGTCGTTTGAAACATCTAACCACGTCGGTTATTTATTTATTGAGTCGTTTGAAACAACTAACCACGTCGGTAGTTAATTACCGTCGTGATAAATTTATAATGACGTCGATTGCTACGTTATTACGTCGTGTGAAACTCTATAATACGTCGTTTTTTATAAATAACCGTCGTTTGTTTTCTTGTTGACTTTTTATATTAACCGTCGTTTTTTATTTTAATTTTGTGCAGCCGTCATTGGGTCTTGCTGATTGTGAGAGCAAAGAGGGAAACCGTCTATTTTCTGGATCCTCTGCCTGGAAATCGTGTGGTTGATGAGGAGGGCAAAAACATCGTGAACAGTGCTTTAAAAATTTATAATTCCCACATAGGCAGACCAGGCCGTAAAGCACCAATTTGGAAAACTCTGCCAGGCACACCAAAGCAACCCAGCAGTGTCGAATGCGGGTATTATGTGATGCGCTTCATGAGGGACATCATCATGGATCCTTCCTTGGAGTTTGAGAAGAAGGTAAGAAGAAAATTTTCAGAAACATTTTATGTGGTTTTTTGTATTATCAACGACGGTACTTTAAAATTACCGTCGTTGAATCGATATACTACGTCGGTTATGAAAAAAAGCGTCGTCTGTGACTGAATTTCTTTTTATTTTGTAAAGCTTAATAATCATTGTTTATGGATTGCAGTTTGCCAAGGGAAAAGAGCAAGCGCCATACCCCCAAGAAGCCATTGATGAAGTCCGGAATGAATGGGCAGATCTTGTTTGCCTTCATATGGAATAGAGGATTTTTGGAACACTTGATATTTTTATATGTAAAATTTTGTCTATAATATATAATGTACAAATTTTGTCTATAATATACATCCTTTTTTTTCCCTGAAAATTGTTGAGGTTTTCATAATTTAAAAGAAAAAACAAATTGCGTAACCGACGTGTAATAACTTTCCAACGACATAATTATGTCAAAAACCGACGTAAAAGGATATTTAGACGTGATATACCGTTTGTACGTACATGGGACGTCGTTTTAGTGAAAATTTCGCCATGGTTTCGCTTTTAAACGACGTCCTTTGAGTATACGTCGTATAGTGAAAAATCCGCCATGGTTTCTCTTTTAAACGACGTCCTTTTTACAAGTGAGTCGTTTATTATTATTTACAACGTCGTTAGTTACTTAACCCCGACGTGGTTTGTTGTTGATATAAAGAATATTTTATTATTTTTAATTCAAAATATTCAAAAATAAATTTAAAATAAATCAAAAAATGCAACGTCAACTCCTATGAAGTCATTGATATATTTTCTTCCCCCTAAACCCCAAAAAAATGCAGTTTGTGTAATAAAAGTTTAAAATGACCACCCAAAATAAAATTGTTTTGATGAGTCATAGCATCACTTATATAGTTTGATGGTTTAGGGTTTAGGGTTTGGGGTTTAGGGTTGTTATTTATTAGGGTTTAGGGTTAAAGTATAATTTTTGGGGTTTAGGGTTTATGTTTGTTATTTATTAGGATGTAAAACCATAAACAATTTTATAAAATTAAATTTTACAAATATATAATTTATGGGTTTTAAAGTTTAGGGTATTACTTTTAACGACGGTGATTGAGTCGTGGAATATTGAGTTTACGTCGTATGGTGAAAAATCCGACGTGGTTTCTCTTTTAAACGACGTTTTGTTTACACGTTAGTCGTTTATTATTATTTACAACGTCGTTAGTTACTTAACCCCGCCGTGGTTTGTTGTTGATATAAGAATATTTTATTATTTTTAATTCAAAATTTTAAAAATAAATTTAAAATAAATCCAAAAAATTCAACTTCAACTCCTATGAAGTCATTGATATATTTTCTTCCCCCTAAACCCCAAAAAAATGCAGTTTGTGTAATAAAAGTTTAAAATGACCAACCAAAATAAAATTGTTTTTATGAGTCATAGCATCACTTATATAGTTTGATGGTTTAGGGTTTAGGGTTTGGGGTTTAGGGTTGTTATTTATTAGGGTTTATGGGTTAAAGTATAATTTTTGGGGTTTAGGGTTTATGTTGTTATTTATTAGGATGTAAAACCATAAACAATTTTATAAAATTAAATTTTACAAATATATAATTTATGGTTTTAAAGTTTAGGGTATTACTTTTAACGACGGTGATTGAGTCGTGGAATATTGAGTTTACGTCGTATGGTGAAAAATCCGACGTGGTTTCTCTTTTAAACGACGTTTTGTTTACACGTGAGTCGTTTATTATTATTTACAACGTCGTTAATTACTTAACCCCGCCGTGGTTTTTCATAGTTTTAACGCCTTTTTTGATTTTGCGTGGTACATAGTTTTACCACGACGTCCTTAATGTAATAAGCGTCATGTTTAATGTTAAATTTTAACGACGCTTGTTTTTTCGGTCGATGTTTTAAAAGAGCGCGCTTTCTTAAAATATTCGCGGGACCTAAAATTTTCAGATTTGGCTCTTATTTTTATACTTCTAACCCTGAACCCTAAAATTTTCTGATTTCGCGCAACATAACATTTCGCTCTCTCACTTCATCTCTAATTCAAAGTTGGGCCAGGCTGTGTCAAATCCAATTTGGTCATAATCTGTGAGCTCTGCCAACCTGTAAGTACAAACCCTCTCTTCCCCTTGTAAATTCATTGAATGATATATTACGTTGTTTTGTTAAAGGGTTTTAGGTATATGTTTTGCGATCTGTTAATAATGTTGTTGGAGGTATGGGTTCATGGATTTTCTGTTTAATGTTTTCTTGATCACTCTCTGTTATGTTGAATATGGGAATGGATTTCATTTTGTCGGATCTTTTAATCACTCTCTGTTATGTTGAATTGGGAATGGATTTATTGTTTTCATGCTTAGTATATGTTGGTTTCATGATATGTTGGTTTCTTGCTTGGTTTCATGTCTATGTTGTGTTCTTAATAGGGTTTTGGGATCTTGAAAATAAACTGGATATCGACGCGTTTTTCAGGCATACGACGACGGTTTTTACTTTAAACCGTCGTTTTTATTACTTATACACGACGGTGTTATTTAACTACCGTCGTGGTTATAATTAGACGACGTAAAATCCGTCGTCTATATATGTCAAATACGTCTGTTTTTGTTTAAAAACCGTCGTCTCTGTTGTATATTACTTGCTATTAGACTTTATATAATCTGCTATAGTGATGGTCATTGCTTGTCTTTTCACTTTATTATATATAATAGGGTATAGTGTCGGAGATGGATAAGTCATGGATGCACTCGGATAGAAGATCGAAGGCATATGAGTTAGGGGTGGAAGCATTTTTGAACTTTTCTGTAGAAAATCTTCTAACTACCACACATATCCGTTGTCCATGTGTTAAATGTGTTAATTTGAAATTGTTTGGGGTTGGAATTATAAGGGATCACTTATACTTTAATGGAGTTGACCAAAGCTATAAGAATTGGACATTTCACGGAGAACCTTGGGAAGCAACTACTAATGCTAGTAGAAATGTTGAAGAAGATGATGACCATAGTAGGTACAGTTTTGTGTCTGAAGAAATAGAGATGGATGATAATGATTTTGGTGATTTTGGATCTGATCCTTATGAGTTTGCCAATGTGATTGGGGATGGAGATCAACCATTGTACCCTGGTTGTAGAAAGTACACGAAGTTATCGGCATTAGTGAAGTTGTATAATTTGAAGGCAAAATATGGGATGAGTGATGTCTGTTTTACAGAATTATTGATACTTCAAGGCGATTTGCTTCCAGAAGGAAATACAATACCGGCCTCTATGTATGAGGCAAAAAAGACTTTGTGTGCATTGGGGCTGAGTTATGAGAAAATGCACGCATGCCCCAATGATTGCATCTTGTATAGGAAGGAGTATGAGGATTTAACTCATTGTCCTAATTGTGGTATCTCAAGGTGGAAGGAAGGCAAAGATTCAATCTTGAAAGAGGGTGTGCCAGCGAAGGTGGTGTGGTATTTTCCTCCAATTCCAAGGTTTAAAAGGATGTTTCGATCACATGAGACCGCTAAGAGTTTGACTTGGCATGCTGCTAGAAAATCAATTGACGGTTATATGTCTCATCCAGCGGATTCCCCGTCTTGGAAACTTCTTGATGATAAATGGCCCGAGTTTGGTAATGAGCCGAGAAACTTGAGATTGGCTCTTTCATCTGATGGATTCAATCCCCACAGTTCTCTAAGTAGCAGATATAGTTGCTGGCCAGTTATCTTAGTTACATATAATCTCCCTCCATGGCTGTGCATGAAACGAAAGTTCATGATGTTGACCTTATTGATTTCCGGTCCTAAACAGCCCGGAAATGATATAGACGTCTACTTGGAGCCTTTGATTGATGATTTAAAATCTTTGTGGGATGGGATTGGAGGAGTGTATGATGCACATAATGGAGAATACTTTACACTCAGAGCTGCATTAATGTGGACAATTAATGATTTCCCCGCCTATGGAAACTTATCTGGTTGTGTTGTTAAAGGATATAAAGCTTGTCCAATATGCGGCGATGATACACCTAGTCACAGGTTGAAAAATGGCCACAAAATTTGTTACATTGGGCATAGAAAATGGTTACCGATCAATCATCCATATAGGAGGCAACGTGCAGCTTTTAATGGGAAACCTGAATATGGCACGCCTCCCGAGCCATTAACCGGAGAAGAAGTGCTGCATATGGTTGAAGATGGTGACAGAGTTTGTTGGAAGAAGAAATCAATATTCTTTGATCTCGAGTATTGGAAATACCTTCCTGTGAGGCATGTCCTAGATGTTATGCACATTGAGAAGAATGTTTGCGATAGTATCATTGGTACATTGCTGGAGATCCCTGGAAAAAATAAAGATGGGATTGCTGCTCGATTAGATTTATTGAACATGGGGGTCAAAACTGATTTGCAACCCGAGTATGGAGAAAGACGTACTCGTTTGCCTCCCGGGCCTTGGAATTTGTCAAGAGCAGAGAAGAGAGAGGTTTGCAATTCTTTCTATGGTATGAAGGTCCCTGAAGGTTATTCTTCAAATATAAAAAATCTTGTATCTTTACAAGATTCAAGACTTCTTGGCCTTAAATCACATGATTGTCATACCTTAATGCAACAATTGCTCCCTGTGGCAATTCGTTCTGTTTTGGAGAAGCCTGCAAGGTATCAATAATCGTTTGTGCTTCTTCTTCAATGCTATATGTGCAAAGACTGTTGATGTTTCCAAGCTAGATAATTGGAAGAAGATGTAGTATGTTTGCTTGAGAAGTACTTTCCCCCTTCATTCTTTGATATCATGGTTCATCTAGTAGTACATCTTGTCAGAGAAGTTCGTCTGTGTGGGCCAGTATATTTTAGATGGATGTATCCGTTTGAAAGTATATGAAAGTGCTAAAGGGGTATGTTCAGAATCGTACTCGTCCCGAAGGTTGCATTGCTGAGCGGTATATAGCGGAAGAAGCTGTAGAGTTTTGTACCGAGCATTTATCTGATGTTAGTACAGTGGAGTGCCTTCAAGCCAAAAGATGGGAGTTTCAAAGCCATTATCAGGTTGCACAGTGAGCGTAGTTGATCGGGACCTGTTGAACCAAGCACATCTATATGTCTTGGAGAATACGGAGGAAGTCCTACCTTATATCGAGTACGTATGAGTTTTATTCTTTAAGTTTCCATTTTAAATTATTTCTTATGTTTATCTTATATGTTTGGGACCGTAATACTTGAATTTTTGTGTGTCATGTAGGCAACATATGATCCACATCAGACCGCTTATCCAAAATTTAGAAAGAGAACAAAGTGGCTGCAGGATAAGCACAATAGCACTTTCATTCAATGGCTACGCTTCAAGGTATATGTTATTGAATAACATATTGGACTTTTAATTTTCTTCTTTCTATGTTAGATTGAATTAAGTTATGATTAATTTGCAGGTTCAAAGTGAACTTAATGAGGAAGACAATCATGGCGTATCAGAAAATTTAAGGTGGCTAGCAGCTGGTCCAAACATGGCAGTGCCATTATATAGGAGCTATCTTATTAAAGGTATTAAATTCAACATCAAGGCACAAGATGATGTGCGGACAACTCAAAATAGTGGAGTTTATTTACTTGCACATACTATGCAAGTTGCTAGTGCCAAGGATAAAAACCCAATTCTCTCAAATATGGGTTTCTATGGTGTCATTCAAGAAATTTGGGACCTTGACTACCAAAAGTTTACAATCCCAGTCTTTAGGTGTGATTGGATTGATAATACTTCTGGTCTTGTAGTGGACGAACTTGGATTTACCCTTGTAGATTTGAGTAAAATTGGACATAGGAATGACCAATTTGTTTTGGCTTCTCAAGTCAAACAAGTATTTTTTGTTGACGACCCGATGCATCGTGGTTGGTCGGTAGTGTTATCAATGCCTAATAGAGAATATAATGATGTTATTGGTGATGATGTCTTAGGTGATGTGAGAATTGAGTGTGAGCCATTTACTAGGGGGATGCCAAATGTTGACACATTTGATGAAGTGGTGGTTGAGTTAGGGAGTCAAAATATTCGAGATGGGTGTGAAGATATATGGGTTGAATGATGCTTTATGTAATTGGCAGTGTATGACATTAATTTTGTAATATATTGTAATGTGATTTCTTCACTTTCATTATACAGGTTTTGGCCACAAAACAATCAGTACAAAAATTACTGGTTCCAGATTACAAACACGACGGTTTTGATAAAAATGTGAAAAACAAACGTCTGTTCTAATAAATAACGACGTTTTGGAGCATTCAACGACCGCAATATATTTACCGACGTCTTAAAGCAACGTAACAATGAAGAACCACGACGCTATTGTGAAACAGTTATCCAGGATAACACGTCGGACAAGCATAAAGAACCGCCATGTAATTCAAAATAACACAACTCCAATCCCATAACACCGACGTCTTAAAGACGAGATCTTTAACCTGAACGTTACAAAAGACGACGTCGTCATGAATTTACCACGTCGCATGTTCTTTCATAAACGAAGTGGAAAAGGATGAATTCACGACGGTATTTGAAGTCCATTAAATTTGTCGACGTTAAGATATATGAATTAGACGACGTTAATTTTTTTAATGAAGACGTAGAAACTATTAAACACGGCGGTCTTTTTCATGGTAACGACGTTGTATATAGACGACAACGTCGTCTTTATAAATTAATGTGTCGTAATTAATGACCCCATCATTTTTCCACGTCGTTTATTTTCAGATCCTGTCGTTAAAATTATTTTACACGGCGGTGGAATTAGAAACGATGCCGTTTCAGAGTCATTACACAACAATTATATTTCAAAATATGACGTATAAATTCTATAATACGGCTCTCATTTATTTGGAACCGACGTTGTTTATTCATTTCAACGTCGTCTCTGTAAATACATGCGTCGTAAGTAATGACCCTGACATCTATTTCCACGTCATAATTCATAGAAAAATCGAAGTGGAAAATTTATTTTACGACGGTTGTTGGAAATGATGTGATGTAGTAGGTGTCAATAACGTCGTCTATTATGATTGTAAAGACGTCATATTTCTATTTGTCGTTAAGTTTTAGTTCTCGTCGTTGTATGATTATCTTGCGGCCATGTTCTGTTAATATATGTCATATGTTCCCTTTTTAACGACAGTTTTTTTGTTGGAGTTGGTCGTCTATTCTCATCCTCGACTTTTTTTTATGTCTTTTTGCAGTACAAAGATGTCGGTTTTTATTTTTGATGACGTTTTTTGTTTTAACAACGACGGTTATTCACCGTCGTGGTTTGGTTATGGAAAAGATGTCGGTGGATTCCACCACCATTTGAAAACAGAATACACGACGGTGAATTCCCGTCGTGTTTTTCCTTTTTTGTAGTAGTGATTTGGATATTTCCTAATCACATAGTGTGGGAAGTTTAAACTGAAGCCTTTGGTAGTAACATTTTAGATCTACATGGTTCATTTATTCATTAAACTTATAATCTACATTTTTTTTAAAAACCCTCCCAACGGTTGAAGAGATAGAAAAGGATCTAAAAGATGACAACAACCAATTTGGAATCTCATTTGTTCACTTTTTAATGTGCTTATACCAGGGAGACACGAGGGCAGGGGGTCCCGGAGCAAAAGAAGGTAACTCTTTCGCTTCTCCAATTCTTGCTTGTTACTTTTGTTGTCTAATTTGATGAGATCTATGCTTGTTCAACCTTCTTTCCATGTGGGACTCTAGCATCTGAATTTTAAGAGTCAGTGCTATGCTAGCTCTATATTCTTCCCATGCCTTTTGAAGTTGTACGCGCCATGTACATATGCCCTTGATCAAGATAGATCGTGCTTTGCGCTCAGATACAAATACAAGATAAAACAGAAGACTCATCATAAATTAAATATTAGGTTGTGAGCTATATTAGTTCAGTCACAAAATCTGTTAAGAACTGTAATCAGGAATCAGTTTCGTTTCTCTCTAAAACCCAAAAAGATTTTAGAAAAACACAAACAGTAGATTTCATGTTTGTAAAGATTGAGGATCATCAGTGTGTATTTGTGTGTGTATAACTGTATATATAGATGAAAGGGTGTGTAGAGGAAAATATCTGAAATGTGGACAGAGTTTAATGGAGACAATTGGGTGGGGATTGGAAAGAGGCATAAGCATTTGAGGGTCACATGGTCTGTTTTCTATCTCTATCTCAAGAACTTGGTTGTTATTAAGTCTGTATGTTTGTTGGAGAACATGATGCCCAACAATTATTAAGTCAAATATTTGGACTTCTTTGCAGTACAAAACAGGCTTCAGACATATCTGTCCATAGATTAGTAATGTTTAGACCACATCAATCTTGTAATTATATATTACTTACATGTGTATGCATTACCTGCTAAGTGCCTAATAATCAATCTCTAGACCAAATTACCAGATGAAATAAGACGTAGGGAACGGTGTTTGTACATAGGGATACAGTTTGGTCATTTGCATGTGGAGATGATTTATGTGAGCAGGAAGACAACCCATGTTATGTTTTGATTTCTCACAAGCTAGTATCCTTTAATGGAGCCCATCTCTGCTCCTCGAGACCGCTCATTTCATGTAGCAGGCCTGACTCTTTCATCTATATATACACAAGAGATCAGGTTCATAACCAGCAACACAAGTCTCTCTCCTTGCCAAGCATCAAAGTCTTCTCTGTTTCCCAAGTCCTCTGAATTCTTTTCTTGTTCTAATTTTCCACTTGAGAATACAAAAACCATGGGATTCCGGTTGCCAGGAATTGTTAACTCCAAGAAGGGTCTAAACAAGGCTGCTACTTCAAAGACCTTACACATCCCAAAAGGCTATTTTGCAGTGTATGTTGGGGAGAGCCAGAAGAAGCGATTTGTGGTTCCAATATCATACTTGAATGAGCCTTTGTTCTTGGATTTGCTGAGTCAAGCAGAAGAAGAATTTGGATATGATCATCCAATGGGTGGTATCACAATCCCCTGCAGTGATGAAACCTTCATTCATCTCACTTCCCGCTTAAGTGTATGAATGAAGGCAAATGAAGTGAATCTGGTTCATATCCAAATCAGCCTCAGTTCGATCAGAAGAACTCGCCATGTCAAGATGAAGTAGAGGCTGTGATTGATCATATGCACATTTTTCTGTTGCTTATGAATCTGGAAGCCTTCTTTGTTGGTCAAACTGCTTGTGAGCTGAGCACGAATATACAAAATTTGTGAAGCAGTTGAATGACGATATCATGAACTCTCGAAGGCTATTGAGCCCAAAATCATAACTCCAATTTTGAACTGGATGACAAGAAGATTTGTCTTTTAAGCCATGTACTATTCTGAATGTTTTGTTCTCCGGGAAACATGAGAAAATATAATATATTTTGATTCCTCATACTTTATTGTCTCATTTTTCAGTAAGCTATTATCTAATTGTAGCTTGTTGCCTTATACAAAAATGGAATCTCGAAGTAGACCAAATTTTAACATCTCACAATCCCAAAGTTGAAGATGGCCTCCTTCCCAATAATATCAGATACAGATACAGCCAAATATTCTGATTTTCCGCTCAATGAAGCTGAAGATGGCTTGTATTAGAAGTAGTTGTATCCAGGGTAAATACTAGGGCTTTTGTAGACCAGATTGCTTGTTCCAATTATTGGAACTTTTATACTAAATGAGAACATGAAACATGGAAAAAAAGTACAAATATGTTTCAGTCCCTAGTAGTTCACACTTAACAGGTCTCTTAATTTCAACCAAAAACAAAAGGTATCTTACAATCCCCATAGTTTCTCGGTCCTAATCGATATCAGTAGATTAAGGAGTTGTTCCAGAGGAATCCCATTTCTCTTGTCCTAATCCATTGGATTCTGCACGAAGGCATAGATCATGAAGTCTTCGTCTTTAACATCAACAAGAAGAGTTAGTACCATCACAACTCAGATAGCACCTGGTACTTGCTAAATACTTTGGTGAAAAACACAAAAAGAACCCACTAATACTTTGGCATAGGATAAAAGATTCCATAATAATTTTTGAAGTAAGCCATTATACTTCAGTTCTTGTGAAAATCTGCTGCTATTTGGTGGTTAATTAAATCAGAGAGCCAGAAGAAGATAGTAAACATAAGTAGTGCAAAATATAAGATTAGAATGGATGAGGATCTAAATTGTCTTATATATTCCCATATTCTCTTCTCCTCAAGAGAAAAAACAACGTTTACATGGGGTTCAAAGAGCAAACTTGACTCTCTTTTAGTTCAAAATTGGGTCCATGTTTTCTGGGCCAATGGTCATCAAGAGTTCATGACAATGTCATTCGACTGCTTCAAAAATTTCGGATCTTTCTGGTCAGCTCATGCAGCTTGTGATTACCAAAGGTGTCGTGTCGGTTGATTACCGAAGGCTTCCCAGACTCACAAGCAACACAAGATGTGAGTGTGATCAATTATAGCCTCTTCTTCATCTTGACTTAGTGGGTTGTGGTCAAAATGAGGAAAGATTCGGATGCAGAAGGCTTCCCACATTAGCTTCCTTAGCATTCACTCATACACGTAAACAAGAAGTGAGATCAAGGAAGGTGTCTTCACTGCAGGGGATAGTAATTCCACCCATTGGATGATCAAATCCAAATTCTTCCTCTGCTTGATTCAGCAAATCCAGGAATAAAGGCTCATTCAAATATGATAACGGAATCACAAATCGCTTCTTCTGGCTCTCCCCAACATACACTGCAAAATAGCCCTTTGGGAGGGTCTTTGAAGCAGCTGCCTGGTTTAGACTTCTCTTGGTGTTAACAGTTCCTGGCAACCGGAAGCCCATGGTTTTTCAAATTCTCAAGTTGAATCAGAACAAGAAAAAGAATTCAAAGGACTTAGGAAACAAAGAAAGCTTTGATGGTTGGCAAGTATGAGACTTTGAGTTGTTGATGAACCTGATCATGAGTGTATATATAGATGAAACCACTGTGAAAACTTAACTGCTACATGAAATGAGTGGTGAAGACAATGGATTGTAAGAAATCAAGAGATCACATGGGTTGTCTTTCTAGTCACATAAATCATCTCCCCACAGATTTCACATGCAAATGACCAAACTGTATCCCTATGTCGAAACATCATTCCCTACATCCTTCAGATAACAGACAGAATCACAAGAGAAATATCAACCTAGTATTTTGTTATGAAACATAAGCCTATTTTGAAAAAAATAAAAATTAGAGGCATGCTTTAGGTATCCAAACTTCTCTGTGTTCACAAACCGAATTGACCAAAGTGCACTAATTAATCATTTTGTGGATCAGGCACTTTAACCACTGCATGGATACTTGTTTTTAGGACATGTTCTTCTTGACTTCATGCTCAATGAAGGGAAAGACCTACACATCACTGACAAGAACTGGTGGGCCTGGATATGAAAATTGGTGCTGTATAACTTGTTTGGGAGCACCAAACCACCCTAGCATGTGGCTTTGTTGTTTCAAATCAGTCCACCCAGTCACCAAACCACCCTAGCATGACCATCAATGTCCCCTGTCTCCAGTTGTAAATGAAAAGCTTGAAACTATCAATGACCAAATATATAAATCAGTTGGTTTTGCAACTAATAAAAATTGTGACAACAAAGATAAGTTCCTCAAGCATTCCCCTACCGGAAAGGAGTAGGAAGGCAAACCCATGTGACCTCTTGAATTCTCACCAGCCAGATTGTCCCTCATTGGTGCCCACTTCAGTGTCTCCTTACCATTCATTTCAGGTAGTTCGTGATTTTCCGCAGGTCCTTTCATCCATATATAAACACATGACCGGCCATGAGCAACTGAAGTCTCTCCTTGCAAAAGCAACAAAGCCTTCTCTCGGTTTCCCAACTCCATTGAATTCTTTTTCTTGTTTTGATTCCTCTTGAGAGTGTAAACACCATGGGGTTCCGGTTGCCAGGAATTGTTAACGCCAAGAGAAGTCTAAGTCACATAGCTGCCTCAAAAACCTTAGATATCCCCAAAGGCTGTTTTGCAATGTATGTTGGGGAGAGCCAGAAGAAGCGCTTTGTGATTCCGATATCATACTTGAATGAGCCTTTATTCCTGGATTTGCTGAATCAAGCAGAGGAAGAATTTGGATATGATCATCCAATGGGTGGAATCACCATCCCCTGCAGTGAAGACTCCTTCCTTGATCTCACTTCCCATTTACGTGTATGAATAAACACTAGTGAAGTTAATCTGGGAAGCCTTCTGTATCCGAAGTATTCCTCATTTCGACCACAACTCACTAAGTCGAGATGAAAGAAGAACATGCATGATCACACTCACATTTTGTGTTGCTTGTGACTCTGGCAAGCCTTCAGAAATCATCAAGATGCTTGTGAACCGGGATCCAAAGTTAAGAAACCTTGTAATACAGTTGAATTACGTATCTTGACTCCAATTTTGATCTCAAAGAGGACATTTTTGTGTTTATACCCCATGTACAGTTCTTAATTTTTTGCTCTTCTGGAACATATGGGAAGATATGAATATAGTTTAATTCCTCATCCACTTTCTTGTCTTATTATCTAATTGTAGTTCTGTTTTATAATCATCAAATGGCAGTGAAGATTTTCTCAAGATCAATAAAGTATAATGGCATACTTCGCCTCATGTTAAAGCTGGTTGAGAGAGGCGTAAATTATGATGACTAATGACAACTTTCCCCTTTTTTTCTTGACCTATATCATAACACTACCTGCAGGAATCATTAATTTGGGAGACTGGCATGTCAAAATGTGCTCTATTTGAAGACATCATTAATATGGGAGACAGGCATGGCAAATTAACGGATACAAACTAGAATAACCATCATGCTTCGTTCATTATGAAAATCTGCTGCCATATGGCATACAACAGATCTGGTAGAAGATAACCCTATAATGCAAAATCTAAGACAAGAATTAATGAATGGAGAAGCAAAATGTCTTATATACTCCCATTTTTCCTGGGAGAGATAAAAAAATTTTACTTGGGGGTACAAAGAAAAAATTTGACTGTTTTTTAGTTCAAAATTGAAGTCATCGTCTCGGGGCTATTGGTCATAGAGAGTTCATGATATCTATCGTCTTTCGACTGCTTCACAAATTTTGTATCTTTGTGCTCAGCTCATGCAACTTGACTGTTGCAGACGTTGTCCCAGATTCACAACAACAGAAGTAGCGAGTATGATCCATAATAGCCTAGTCATAATCTTGACATTCCAAAAAGAGGATGTTTTTTATATGAAGTTGGATCCCAGATTACCTTCATTCGTGTTCACTATACACTTAAGCAGGAAGTGAGATGAACAAAGCTGTCTTCACTGCAGGGTATTGTGATACCACCCATGGGATGATCGTATCCAAACTCTTCTTCAGCTTGATTAAGCAAATCCAGGAATAAAGGCTCATGATACTGGAATTACAAATCTCTTCTTCTGGTTCTTCCCAAGGATTGAAATATCGGCCGATACACCGATATATCTGCCGATATATCGGTATTTTCAACTATCGACATCGATACTGGGGGGGTAAGGCCATATCTTCCCCTATATCGACGATATATCCCCGATAAGTGTGATATCCTCGATATTTTGCCGATATCCCCGATATTTCCCGATAGCCATAACAAAACTAAAAAAAAATTTAGAAGTTTTGAAGGCAATTGAAGCAAATTGAAACCCAAAAATAGCTAATCTTTGCCCAGAACCCTATAATTTACTAATATGAAGAATCTATGCACAGTCCACTGCCCACATACCTCCAATCCATCTGAAGAGGACATGGCGATCAGTTGATCTATGAGCATAGGAACTAGACCTAGTACTAACTCAAATGAATCTTATGATGGTTATGTCATGTCTGATTATAGGGGAACTAGTTATGGAGCTCAAGATGATAAAAAAAGATTATGGGCCTACTAGTTGGTTAATCCTAACTATCCCATATATTGGAGGACAATAGGGATCTCAAGAGAGACCTATGTGCACCATGTTCAAACATGGCTTACAAACTGCTCGGGTTACATGACTTGGTATGACAATACGAATCTAGATGGTTGTTCCTCATTGTTTGAACCTCATAGGAGCTCTTCATTTATGTAAATGGAAACTTATCTAAATTGTAATCCAATGTTTAAACAAACTACGGATTTATACATGGTTTATTCATTCTAATTAACATTTTATTTTCGAACTTTTCATTAACGCGCATTACATACCACTTATATTTCATCATATGTATATCTTATTATTAGTAAATTTTGAGTTTCATTTGTTCAATACATTCATTGATAATGTACATAACATCTATGAAAGTTTTACACCAATATTATGTGTTTCAATGCCTATATCTGTCATTTTTGTTGATTTTTTTCCGATACCTAAAACGATAACGATATATCCTCCGAAATATCCGTAAATTGGAGGCCCGATATTATCTGCACGGCCGATATTTTAATCCTTGGTTCTTCCCAATATACACTGCAAAATGGCCTCTTGGCATCTCTAAGGTCTTTGAAGAAGCTGAATGGTTTAGACTTTCCTTGGCGTTGACAATTCCTGGAAACCGGAACCCCATTGTTTTTAAATTGGAGTTGGAAGAAGAAAAAGAATTCAAAGGAGTTAGGTAACAGAGAGAGTTTTGATGCTTGGCAAGGAGATACTTGATGCTTGTGAACTTGATCATTTGTGTATATAGATGAAATGGGATGAGAAAATTCATCTGTTACATGAAATGAGTGGCGCAGAGGCATGAGGTGGGCAACAATGAGGGACAATGGCTTGTGAGAAATCAAGGGATCACATGGCGTTGTCTTCCTACTCACATAGGACATTGCATATGGAAATGACGAAACGTATTCATATGTTGAAATATTATTCCCTACCTCTTTTCCAGTAGGGGCAGGCCTGAGACATTTACTTCTCTTGGCGCTCACTAGCTAACACAAATTACCAAATTGAACTTCTTAGTATTTTCTCGGAGATATGCTATGCTTGAATTTCATGGTTACTATTTAATTTGGACTAACTCTCCTGCATATGTTGGTGTCTCAATTAATGCTGCTTTACAAACAAGAACTGGTGGTGTTATGAAACTTTTGCATTTGGCCCTTGAGAGAACCATGAATAACCATAGAATTTGTGGCTTTGGAGTTTTTCATCCCTTATTTCCATAGTCAACAGCTAAGAAACTATCTACCTTGCAAACCCTCCAAGCCTTCTTTGTTTCCCAACTCCATTGAATTTGTTTTCTTGTTCTAGTTCCGGTTAAAAATTTAGCACCATGGGGTTCCGGTTGCCAGGAATTGTTAACGCAAAGAGAAGTCTAAACCACGTAGCTGCCTAAAAGATCTTAGATATCCCAAAAGGCTATTTTGCGGTGTATGTTGGGGGAAGCCAGAAGAAGAGATCTGTGATTCCGGTATCATATTTGATATGATAATCCCATGGTTGGAATCACTATCCCCCGCAGTGCAGACTCCTTCCTTGATCTCACTTCACGTTTACGTGTATGTGAGTGAAATTGTTAAATTTAATGCACACTTGTCTTGAAGAATTTAGAAAAATCTAGAAAAAGTAGAAACCTCAAGAAATGTCCACCAACTTTGACAAAGTCAAGCTTTAAGATATAATTATTGTAGGCATTCTAGAAAAGTCCTAATAAAAATCTTGTAATAAGGTAATACTATTATATTGTAAACTAGTAGTAAGAGAGAAGAGACCAATAAGTCATAAAATAGGAAGGAGGCCAATAAGACCATCTTCAACCCAAGGGGTGGAAACTCAAATTTTGAGTTTAGCTTCCAAAAAGCTTCTCCAACCCATGTATTTTGGGAGGTGAAAATTTGAGAAATCTCAAAACTGGACTGGAATTCCAGTTTGCTTTTTGCCTGGATTGATAAATTCGTGGGCCCGAAATCTGCTTTAATTTATATTTGTTATTGCATGCTAGAAGCCCACGTTATGGGCAATTGAAGTTGGGCCTGCCTGCAAGTGGGAAAAGCAGTTTCCCCTACCTTTATTGATGGTAACGGCTACTTTTTCAAATCAAATGTTCTGCTCTTTATATATATATATATATATATATATATTCCAACAGCTATAAAATCAATGATTTTGATTAATTTTAGGCAATCTCAACGGTAAAATTTCACATCCAACAGCTCAAATTTAAATCCAATGGTCAAATTAATATTTATAATTAATATAAGTCAAATCCAACCCCAAAACTTATTCCAAACTCTATAAATAACCATTCATTTGGTAAATAATCCACAAAAAATCTTTTTTTTCCTTTCTCCCTTTGTTATAATTTTTCATTCTACATTCATTCTTGTTGAGAATGTCCCCAAAACCCCCAAATGTGAATTGGAAACCATAAGAAGATGAGGCATTGTGCAGAGGGTGGGTTTCTGTCTCTGAAGATGGGGCTATTGGCGCGAATCAATCAACGACTCATTTTGGTTGCGTGTGTACCAAAAATTTTTGGAAAATGATTCGGGCATGAGCGGAGCCGAGGTACGATCACCGCAAGCTATTGCTTCTTAGTTCAAGATCATCAACCAACAATGTTCTCTTTGGAAGGCATGTATAACAAAGGCCAATGCAAGGCATGCGAGTGGCTCTAATCTTGAAGATGTAGTGAGTACCCTTTTTTTTCAATGCTTAAATTTATAATTTGTTGTAAATGCATGAGTTGGTGGATGACCACCATACCTCTTAGTATTCCACCGTTGGTTATTATGTAACCTATGCATTAAGTATTTGTAATTAGTGCTTGTAACCTATAGGTATATTGTAAATGATAGTATTCAATCTCCTACCTTGTAAGCCTATAAATAGGTGGTTCTACCAAAGATTAACGGAAGAAAAACATGGTGAAACTTTATCTTTAACATGTCACTTCTCTCTACATTTTCTCCCTCTAGTTTTATAACACATTATCAGCACGACATTGCTCTTGGTATGTTTTCTTTCTATGAATTTTCATTCTTCTTATATGATATGCTAGAGTCATCACATGGTATAGAGTTTCTTTGTACTCACCATCAGACTTCATCATGCTCGTTTAAGAAAAAAAAATTCTTATTCTTATTACACATGAATATAATGCCATGTTTTTGTTTTTTTTATTTGTTTGTTTATTTAATTTCAAGTATGATCTTAATTATTATGATGAGTTTGTATTATACAAAAGATCAGGGCCCGGAGTTCCTCGATCCTCATCATATAACTAGATTAGGACCTAGAGTTCTTTTGATTGAATCAAAACCTGAAGTTCTTTGATTCCAAATAATTGAGGGCGTGAAGTTCTGCGAATTTAAAGAGCACATAAGGACATGAAACTCCTTGATTTTGTATTAATCAAAATCAGAATTCTATGAGGCCTACATATGTCAAGAACCCGAACCAGAAATTTGGAGTGCATATACATCGATTTGAGTATGAAGTTCAAAGCACAACTATTAATTCAAATTATTTAGATCTATGTATTCGAACCTGCAGTTTCGAATATATGTTGATATGAACCTGAAGTTCATAGTTTTTCATGGATCCTAATACTATATATCAACCTGAAGTTCATTACTTATTTGTGCCTATATGAACCTGAATTGGTTGGAAATCCAATTCTTAAACTTGTAGTTTTATCTACATACTGAATCCACATTAATATTGGATTATCTTGGAATTTCATAGACTTTAATTTATTTAATTTATTTCTCATTTATACCACTTTACTCATTTTATTTTATTTTATTTTATTTTATTTTATTTATGTTGGGTTATTAGTTAATTTCACTTTACAATGGTAATGTTTTGTATTACTGCCCCAATATTAACAACCATAGGCGTCTATTGGAGAAACTTCCTACTTTCTTTTGTGTGTAGTAAGTTTATGATGTCATGAACTAGAAGTTCATGAAGCCCCAATATTACATAACTATTAAAGTAGTTGAAGATTATGATGTCATGAACCAAAAATTCATTGACCGGATAACTTTTAAGTTGTGGCAATCCATGTTCCTCAATGATACATAAGATTTTTATAAATTTGTCAGGACATCATTTAAAGACTCAAAATATTGTCTTGTCCAACAAATATCATTACAAAGAATGCTCACAAATAAAAGCTGTCATATGATCATCTCAGTCAAAAATTGACTTTGAGCCCTAATTCAAGGGGATATTTGTGAGCCTATACAACATTTAATTATGAATCACTTCACCAGTTTTACTGAATGTGCCTACTAAAATGGTCACATATTTGATAATGACAGTGAGTTTATTTTCCTACATTTTGAGACAATTTTCCCGTCGTTAGGGGGAGAAATGATAGTTCCTGAAGAACGTCGTGAAATAGTGTTGAATCGGTCCACTTTTGTCTCATCAAGATAATGCATATATAAAGTTATGAATATGCAAGCATGTTTTGATATGACAATAAGTGACTATATATAATGCATGCATGAAGCATGGCAAAAATATAGGTTCTAAAAACTTAACTCCTTAGAAGTGGAGATTATTTGAAAAATTCAAGCCCTATCAAAAATAACGCTCTATATGAGGTTATGATCCACATATTCTAATTAATTCATTGTAAAAGAGATGTTTGTCCCATAAGTGACAACATCAGCCCCTGAAGAGGCATTGGTATCCCAAAGCAATGAGATGCTTATAAATTATGCATGCACATGCACATGAGAATTATGGGATCACGAATTGATGATACATTTGGTTTATTAGTAGCTACTACAATCATCAAGGGCTATGATTATATTAAATCTCGCCTTATGAATGTCGACAAGTTAAGTGATTGGCCAAAATGGAAATAGGCAATTCCAGTTATCACTAAATATAAGTGCGGGATATTGAACCTATAACTCAAACACCGAATTACAAATGTTAAGTATGAAGGTTAGGAATTGGTGTTTGTGAAATGAAATAAGATCACTAATATGACATAAGGTTTCCTGGGAGAGACATGGTTTTAGTCTCCCATCTCATCGTAGATGCATCCACATTTCTATAAGTGGAATTGTTATTTTAACGCGAAACTTATAGCATGTGTTAAATGCATATTTATTAAGACTGTATGGTACATGGAGATCCTCAAAGCTCATGAAATATTTGAGATATATCGGATGAAGCGACCCCTTGAAGGATATAAAGTACCACAATATTCTTAATTAAGAGTTAACACAAAGAGTTTGAGTATTTTGAATTCAAATTTGATATTGTTGTAACATATTTTAACTATTAAATTAGTTGTTGATACTCCTAAAGATTTCAATCATTTGAAAAGTGAAAAGCAGGTCGAATAGTGTGATAGACGATCATGTATGAAGACAATGTTGCTTGTATTGCTCAAATCAGAGAAGGGGATATATTAATCAAGGGGAGATATCAATCAAGGGGAGCATCCCAATTCTACTACATACAGGACATATGCGCGTTGTACTCTTTTTCCCTTCGACTAGGTTTTGTCCCACTGGGTTTTTCTAGCAAGGTTTTAACGAGGCAACATAAGCGCATCCAACACCATATCAATGATCCAGAAGAAAGTTTCACTCTTTTTCCCTTCGCTTCGGTTTTGTCCCACTGGGTTTTCCAAGCAAGGTTTTTAATGAGGAAACTATGTCATTGTATGGTGGACATCCAAGGGGGAGTGTTGTAAATGCATGAGTTGGTGGATGACCACCATACCTCTTAGTATTCCACCGTTGGTTATTATGTAACCTATGCACTAAGTATTTGTAATTAGTGCTTGTAACCTATAGGTATATTGTAAATGATGGAATTCAATCTCCAACCTTGTAAGCCTATAAATAGGTGGTTCTACCAAAGATTAACGGAAGAAAAACATGGGGAAACTTTACCTTTAGCATGTCACTTCTCTCTACATTTTCTCCCTCTAGTTTTATAACATAATTTTAATTGTTTTCAATTATTAACTTGATTTTTATTTTATTTCATGGGTAGGATATTAATGCAAAAACACTTTTCTTGAATGATAATAAACCTTTGAATAGGCCTTTCAAGTTGTACCATGCTTGGAAAATCTTAAAATATTGCCCAAAATGGAACGACCTATGTGAATCTCCCACACAAACATTCAAAGATTCTTCTCATAGTGGCAATACAGTCAATTTGGAGGAAGATGAAGATGATGCGGTCATGCCCACTCCAAGGCCGTTTGGAAGAGATAAACAGAAGGATGAAAAAAAGAAAGGGAAAAGTGTTGAAAGTTATCTCAACCAAAGTGGTAAGTTCTTGTATGAATTGGTTCAACAAGGAAATGAGGCAAAATAGGATAGGAGGTGAAAGTTAGAGCTCCTACAAGAGCAACATGCATCTCAAATCCAACAAGATAAGGAGGCCAATGAACAGAGGATAATGTCCATGAACCTATCCAAATTTACTCCAAAAAAGAAGAAGTATTGGGGGAATAAGTAAGACGAAATTATTGAGGCCCAAATGAATACAAGTCCCCTTACAATCCAGAAAACAACTCTGGAGACTATTATCCAAGCCCTCCACATAGTGGTTATTATTCACGTTTATTTGTAATTGTTGTTTATCTTTATTTATAATTGTCGTTTATCTTTATTTATAATTGTTGTTTATCTTTATTTTTAATTATCGTTTATCTTTATTTGTAATTGTTGTTTATCTTTATTTATAATTATCGTCTGTCTTTTTTTATTTTTTTTATTTTTTATATATTTATGATTGTCGTTTTTTTTCTATGATTAGTTTATTTTTTAAAAATCAATGATAAACCATATAATTCATTAAAATCACACAACCACTTTTATAATTTAAACACAACATAATTTAAACACGCTTAGATAATTTAAAGACACTTACATAATTTAAACACACAACATAGCTCATTGCCCCTCTCCTTCGCATCTCCAAATGTGGTTGATCAAATCATTTCTTAGATTGTGATGCACTTGTGAAGCACGAACTCTATTATGACGGACCATGTAGTCTGAGATAGTTTGTCTGTCTCGGTTTATATCGTACGTGATAGTTGGCTCAAGCTCATAAGCAAGTCTTGCTCTTACTCTTCTAGATGTTTGTGGACAATTGTCTTCATCATCAAATTTTGCATCTAGATCCTCATACTCATCCTCAACAATCATGTTGTGCAATATTATGCACGTCATCATGATTGAATGAAGTTGTTCTTTGCGCCACAGGCGTGCAGGTCCCCTAACAATTGCCCATTGAGCCTGAAGTATTCCGAAGGCTCTTTCGACTTCCTTCCTATAAGCCTCTTGTTTTTGGGCAAATATTTTTTTTTTTTTTTTGTGTATTCCGGTTGGGAAATCGTCTTAACCAATATAGCCCAATGAGGGTAGATACCATCAGCCAAGTAATAACCCAGATTATATTCATTTCCATTGACAACACATTGGATATGGGGAGACACTCCATTCACTACATCATTGAACAACGGGAAACGAGCTAGAACGTTGACATCATTGTTCGATCTGGCAACTCCAAAAAAGGCATGCCATATCCAAGTGTCATACGAGGCCACTGCTTCTAGAACGACAGTTGGCTTATGCTTGTAGCTGGTAAACTGGCCTGCCCAAGCAGTGGGGTAGTGCTTCCATTCCCAATGCATGTAGTCAAGACTGCCTAACATGCTTGGGAATTCTCTACGACTAGCCTTGTGCAAGAGCCTGTAAAGGTCGGCAGGATTTGGGGAACGGAGGTACCACTGACCATACACGGCTTCAATAACAGAACAAAACTTTCGCAAACATTCAAGGGTTGTAGATTCACCCAATCTACAGTACTCGTCGGTGGAGTCTGCCAAGCATCCATATGCGAGCATTCGAAAAACAGCTATTAGCTTCTGCTCTGGGGATAGACTTTGTCATCCACAAGCATTTATCTTCTGGGTAAAGTATGGCTCATGTGCAACAACATCATTCAAGATGCGATAGAAAAGCTCTCTTCTCATGCGGAACCGCCTGTGAAAGTCCACTGGGGGATAAAGTGGTCTTTCACAGAAGTAGTCCTCCACGAGACTCTTATGATATTTTTCTCTCTTCTGATTCTTGTATTCACGGCCTACAACAGAACCACCATGTTTGGATTGTTGAGCATATTGCTCCAGCAAAAGTGTATGGTGTTGAAAAACCATTGCAACCCTCTGTTGATGAAGGTCATCATCATCAGAATCATCATTGAAAAAATTTTGTATAGCCTTTGATAACTCATATATTTATACATTTATACCATCCATTTCTAGTCTATTTGTGATGTTTTTGAGTTAAACATGTTGCGTTTTACCCTATTTTGTGTTAGTATGCACTGACATCTACTTTAGGATCAAGTTGAAGGCAAAAGAAATGAAAACATGCCATTTTTGGAGCTGGCCCTTATTCAAACGTGGAAACAAGTTTTGTGACATGTTTTGAAGTCGAAATAAAGAATCCAAGGCGAACCTGGCTTGTTTGAAGACTAAAAGCAGAATGGGAAAGCAATGGGGATTTCTAGCCTGATTTAGAGGTGCCAAATAAGGCAAAAACGTGCAAAATAAGGGCTGATTTATTAGGATCTCTTTAGAATATCTGACAGCCTCTTTTACCCCATAAAAACTTGTCTTTTAGCCACTTTAATAGACCTTATTTATTTTGGAGGAATTTCACAACCCTAGACCATCCTTCTTTTTGTCATTCTCCCCTTTCACACACACTAAAACCCTAGCCGTTCCATATATTTCCACCACCAGGACTCATCCCAGGAGGCTGTTCTTGGAGAAGTTCAACATCATAATTGGTTCAAGGGTTTCCTCTCATGAATTTATTTTCACTCATGTTGTTTATTTTCATTTTAATCTCTGTGAACATGATGTGTAACTAAATTCATAGCTAGGGATTTCGATGTAGCCTTGAAACATTGATCCATGTTTCTAAGGTAAAGTATTCAGTTCATCAATCTGTTTCTTGTTTCATTCACTGAATCTATTGTTAAATTTGTTTGTCAATTTTAATGTTTGATCACCATTAGGGTTGCCTACAAATTATCTGGTCAAGGTTATTGTAAACATCATGCTTAATCTTGGTAGACATGTGAATGAATGAAGAGAATGCTATGCAAACATCCTGCCGTGTGTTTTCTTCGGTTCTTTAACGTTTTCTTGCATGCTAATGACTCTTAACCTGGAACCAAAGTTGAACATCCCAATTAGGTTGCAGATTAGGAGAATTTGATCAAAACCACACATCATATAGCTGATCATATATATGTAAAACGAACTCTGGAAACAGGTTGGTAGTTGAATACAGTTTAACTTTATAAACATGGAATTGGCTTTGCAATGGTGAATTCGAAATCCCTGGTCTCATCCCTATTCTTCCTCACCAATATCTCATTCACTGCTACATTCTTCTTGCATTTTAAGTTATTTTTCATTTACAACACAAACTACTCTCAATTTGTCACTTTCACTTTTAGTTAGGGTTCTTTCAAAACTAGTAATTTATAGAGGTCCAATCAGTCCCTGTGGTTCGACACCCTTACTTGTACCATTATACTAACCATATATTGGCACTCGGAAGGAACACAACAGTCTTCCCACATGAATTCATTGTAAGAAGGAGAATTGAAGGAGATTGTGTGGTCAATTCAGTATAATAACACTTCTTAAATAGACAAGAGAATGAGATGACCTACATGTTTGAAAATAATTGAATGAAGATAGGAAAAGATAGAGAAAGATAAGGGAATCCAATAAAGTGAGATGAACAAAGATGAGCAATGGTTTAGAACGTGATTGAAACAAGACAAGATGGGAAATGGTTCATAAAATAATTGAATGAAGATAGGAAAAGATAGGGAAAGATAAGGGAATCCAATAAAGTGAGATGGACAAAGTTGAGCAATGATTCATAACATGATTGAAATAAGACAATAGGGGATAGGAAAGAGTTCGAGGTGGGCAAAAGTTCAGAAACATTATTGAATGAGGATAAAGGAATCCAATGAAGTAAAAGTAAAAGTAAAAATGGAAGAAAATTATGGCAATGGCTTCAATGAAGGGTTCAAATTATTCCGGACATACGTATGGTGTTGTACTTGTTTTTATTTTTAAGTGAAATGCTATTATGTTTTGGAATTTTAATTTTTTAAGGTTAAAATGTTTAGAAAATTAAATCACGAGTATTGAAACAAAAATAATGTCAAGAAAAATTAACAAGAAAAAAAAATTAAGGGATAATCATTCTTAAACAATTTAATAAAGTTGTGGACTCAAATTATGAGTCTGCAAGGTTGGAGGAAAAAAAAATATTGAGTCCTGAAAATACATGAATAGTTGTATTTTGGATGGTGAAAATTTGAGTTTAGCCCTAACATGGTTGGAGATGGTCTAAGCCTAGTAAATATTTTAGAAAGGCCAATAAGCCTATAGTCCTTTATAAAGCCTTGTACTCAGCTATTGTTGAATAAATAAAATCACTCTATTGTTCTCCCATAAACCAACAGTGGTATTAGAACAAAGTTCGGTTACCTTGGGTGTAAGGGTTTGATATAGTCCTCCGTCATGTCTATCGCTAGCCAAACTTCTATCCCATTTCCAATTTTTACTAGAGAAAATTATGATTTTTGTAGCATCAAGATGAAGTCCTATTTTATGTCTCAAGATTTATGGGACATAGTTGATAGTGGCTTCAATAATCCAAAAAATCCTGCTATGCAGTAGCTGAGGAGGCTAAACAAAGATAAGTAGAAGGATGCAAAGGCTCTATTTGCACTGCAACAAGCTTTGGATGACACTATTTTTCCAAGGATTATGGGAGCCATAACATCAAAGGAAGCATGGGATACTTTGAAGAAGGAGTCTCAAGGAAACGTCAAGGTACGTGCAGTTAAACTACAAACTTTGAGAAGAGATTTTGAAAACATTAAAATGAAAGATTCTGAGACCACATAAGAGTACTATGCTAGAGTAAAATAAATAGTCAATCAATTGAGAGCCTATGGAGAAAAAGTTTATGATTCAAGAATTGTACAAAAAATACTTATCAGTCTCACTGATAAGTATGATCCACTAGTAACTGCCATTGAACAGACAAAATATATAACTATTGTCAATGACATAATTAATGGGTTCTCTGGAAGCATATGAAAAAAGACTGTGTATGCAAAATGAAAGTCCAGTAGAAAGTGCCTTCTAGTTGAAACTAAATTTAAGGTCTTAGAAGTCTAAAGATGATGAAAGAAAATTTGAAGACAATTCTAGAGAAGTAGAAAATGAACCCAACAATAATTGGGAAAATAAAAGAGAAATTGTGGAGAGGAAAGACTATCCTCCGTGTCAGGTATGCAAAAAGAGAAGCCACCAAGAGAAAGATTGTTGGCACTGAGGCATACCAAAATGTTGGTACTGCAAAAGATTTGGGCATATAGAAAAAGACTGCCGATTTAAGAAAAACTATCAAGCTAACTACACCGAAGAAAATGATAAGTACGAGCATGTGTTCTATGCATGTCCCGGAAGACAAGGAGACAAGGAGACTGTAGCTCAATTATAGTAAGAAAACTGTAGCTCAATTATCAGCTAGAGCAAAGAATATGGCATCGACAAGATCAGAATATCTAGCAATATAGGTCCAATTGTGCATTAGGGAGAAGTGTTAAATTTAATGCACATTTGTCTTTAAGAATTTAGACAAATCTAGAAAAAAGTAGAAACCTCAAGAAATGTCCACCAACTTTGACAAAGTCAAGCTTTAAGACATAATTGTTGTAGGCATTCTAGAAAAGTCCTAATAAAAATCTTGTAATAAGGTAATACTATATATTGTAAACTAATAGTAGCAAGAGAGAAGAGGCCAATAAGCCAGAAAATAGGAAGGAGACCAATAAGCCTAGTAAACATTTTCTAGTTGTAGAAGGGCAAAAGCCTAGTCCTCTATAAAGCCTTGTATTCATATATTGTTGAATAAATAAAATCACTTTATTGTTCTTCTGAAAACCCAACAGAAATGCTAATGAAGTTAATCTGGGAAGCCTTCTGCATACGAAGGATTCGTCATTTCAATCAAACTCACTAGTTGGGATGAATAACATGCTATAATTGATCACACTCACATCTTGTGTTGCTTCTTAATCTGGGAAGCCTTAGGTAATCATCAAGCCGCTTCTGAGTGGAGCTCAAAGTTATGACGCTTGGTGAAGCCATTATCATCGAGTCTCTAAATTCATTGGCCTCGAAATCATGACTCCAACTTTGATCTCAAAAGACAATCAAATTTTGTGTTTATATCCACTTTATTGCTCTTCCGGAGCATGTGGGAAATTATGATATACTTTAATTCCTCATCCACTTTATTGTCTTATTACCCAATATGCACTGGAGATTTTCATAAGATAATTGAAGTATAATAGCATTACAGTCATCCACTTTTGGCTCATAGAAATGGAATCTTGAAGTAGACCACATTTTAGCATTACAGTCTACTAAAGTTAACAATGGCCTACTTTCCCAATAAAATATCGGATATATACTCAATGTTTCATGTTCTGTTTTTCATGAAACATTGACACATAAAAAACAGAACATGAAACATTGACAGACAAATAAGGTTATTAGGGAGGAGTGTTAAATTTAATGCACATTCCAAAATAAGGTTAAACAGACCAACAGAGAAGAATAACATAAAAACTAACAGAAAAACCACAGCAGTCCCCATAGACAAATCCTAGACCCCGTAACCACATTTATATAGAGAACAAGTAAAAGTAGCTCGAGCAAATTCGATTGATCAACAAATGGGCATGAGTAGACGATTGTTAAGCTTAGGCAGGCAGCTTCCCGGGAGTGGG